CTGCATACTGCTAGGATCAACACTATCGAAGTCATCGTGAGTAGTGATAAGTTAATAAAGATGGTAAATTTCATTACCGAGCTTAAAATTCACCATCATTATTAACTTATCACTACTCACGATGACTTCGATAGTGTTGATCCTAGCAGTATGCATACTTTCTACTTTGTTTCCTACAGCCGAGTTTTGTTTCAAAAGCTTCACCCCCAAAAATCTAAGACAAAACTATCTCGACACCTCCTTATAATAAGTCGAGACGGCTCAAACAGTTGTTCACTCAAAAACATGAACACATTGTTTTGCTGTATCAGTAATGAATACTTGTCCAGCGTTCGACATAGCAACAGCAAAAGGGCCTTGAATTTGGGCGGGCTCTGCTTTTATCGAGTTTAGAAATTTTCCTTTCAGTGTAAAAACTTTAATGAAGAGCCGTTGTTTTCTACTTTGTTTCCTACAGCTGCGCTTTTGTTTGAAAAGCTTTACACCCAAACATCTAAGACAAAACTATCTTGGGACTCCTTATAATAAATCGCAAAAAACAGTTGTTCACTCAAAAACATGAACACAGTGTTTTTTTATATCAGTAATGAATACTTGCCCAGCGTTCGACACAGCAACAGCACGAGGTTCTTGAAGTTGGGCGGGCTGTCCTTTTATCGAGTTTACAAATATCCCTTCCAGGGTAAAAACTTTAACATTTCGAACGTCACACACTAACAAGTTGTCAAACTTGTCAGCAGCAAATCCAACAGGACCGCCCCGCTCACCAGGCCCCTCTGTGCCAATATCATATAGAAATTCCCCTTCATTATTAAATACCTTGACGCATTGAGCCATGTAATAGGAGACAAAAAAACTGTCTTGATGATGTAAAGCAAACCACGGGGACTCATCGCAGCCTGGACAGCTGAGGGACTGCAGTAATTTTGTAAAGTCAGGGGAGAGGACTTTGACCATTTTGTCACCACTGTCACTGACGAGCATGCGTCCATCACAAGCAACGGAAATGTAACCTGGTCTGATCAAATGTTCGTTGAAGATGTTTTCAATGAAATGACCGCTTTCAGTGAAACAAAAAATATCTTGCAAATCACAGATAGTGACGTCACCGGACTTGGTGAATGCTACTGAAAAGGGATAATTAAGTGTCTTGGCGTCAAGTCCTTTCTGACCATACTCTCTCAAATAAATTCCATCTGGGTTAAAAAGCTGTACTCTATTATTAAAAGTGTCAGCAACTGCAATGTTCCCTGTCTTGTCACTTATTGCA